TCTATCCACGTTGTGCTAGTGGCTACTGGATAAAGATAGAGTCACAGCAGTCAATTCTATTTTGAATTTTTTGCGTTGTATATCGCGTTAAGAAGCTTTTTGATCCATTGTATTAAAAATCTTTGGAGTTTTTGTCTAGAGCCACTGAGCACCTTGCATTGCAGAACCATTAGCACTTTGCCTGTCAGGAAAATGGGTGCTGTTCTTCCCTACAATGGGGTAAGTAGAAGCTTTGGACAGTAGCGTGCCGAGTGGGTGGGCGTTTGGGTAACCACGGCCTACTATTTTTTTTACTTTCGAGCCGCGCTATCGGTACAATTTTACTGTTCATACTTTATGAGAACCAACATGTTTTTTTTCAAACGCGCTTTTGGCGTCCTGTCAAAATTTAATACGCGTCTAATGAAACGACATGTTTTTTTTTACTGGTGCATGTGGAGTCGGAAACTTAAAAAGCGCTCCACAGGTAGCGTTTCACAGCTGAAAATCACATCTCAAATAGAGGTCTCAAGTTTTGAACGCATTTTCACACCTCACTATGAGGAGTTAACGGTTTAAAGCTCCACACCTAAGCTTTTAGCACCTGTAAAACAAGAGTCTAATAACATCTGTAAAAATTTAATGTTTGAGCAACATCAAGTTTTAATGAAATTACTTCAATCGAAATTCTGCTACACTCCATACAGTCATTATAGCGCCCCTATATTAGTCGCAGAATGTCAAAACGATCATGAAAACCCAGCTGCTTTCTAAACGTCAGAAGACGATGCGATCATTCTTCCAGAAGAAAGCAAAAATTTCTTCTCCGGAATCTGACCCGGAACTTTATCCAAAACTTGACCTTTTTATAGATCAGAAGGGCCCTCTCTGTCCTATTTGCAGTCTGCCTGATGAGCTAGAATTATCTGAAGCCAATCTCTAGTCAGGACATGAATCTTCTAGTAGTGCGGGCAATGCGGCGATGAGCTTCCTCCTCTGCGTCACCCTTTCTTCACTCGGGTAGGAGCACTAACTCATCTCCACCGATGATGAACACATCGACGTAGTTTGCGATTCTTTCAATCCGAACGCAAACTTTCAATCTGAGCTTAAAGTTTGGAAAAACATATGGTCTAGCAACGCTTCGGCTCCATCGACTCTAAAGAATCCTTAGGTCAATAATCAAAAACTCTAACGCTCGTAGTGTACGCCCTGATTTAAACTTTTGCCACCTTGCCGGTCACTGAGCGTTTTTTTCCTGCGATGAAGCTTCTTAAAAGAAACCTGAGATCAACCATTCGGGAAGGCCGGCTGAAATCGCTGGATCGTTCGCAAAAAAAAAACAAATTCTTGACGTAGCTGAAATATACGTTAATAGTTTCTATGAATTGTTGTTTGTACAATTTTTCAGAAACTTGACACTTGCTGTATAAGTTGTATTTTTTTTACTTCAATTTAACCTTGCAAAACTTAAAAAACTGTACGGAAAATAACCCCCCACCTCAAAAAAATCTTGCGCACGCCACTGGCTTTTTAATATCTCGCTATGTTAAAACCCAACTTGGAAAAATTGGAATCGCATAGAGGTCATCAGAAGGTCTCAGCTCAATTTTCCAGTTACACTGCAATGCTTACAAGAACGAACATTTCCAGAGTTTTAAACTTTTCAACCTTTAAACTCAAAAACTTTCTGAATGGGTTTTTTATTTTCTTCAGGCCTATTTTTTTTTGAGAAGAGCATGAAACAATTGCGCACATAGTAGTTTTTTCTCCAATCTCTTGCAGAAGACTTTTAGTCACCCAGAAGATAGTGTATATTACCACAACAACCAGAACTTCTTCAGCCTAAAATTTGATCCTCCAAATCAGTCTCAATTAGAACAATCTATTCAGACATGATACTGAAACCCCTTGTGCTAGAATGGCTAAAAATTTCCACAGATAATTCCAGTCATTAAGAGTCGCAGAGATTTAATGATAACGCTTTTGATGCAGGGAGGGCCGACGGGGGTGCGGATTAAATTTTGAATAATTTTCAATGAAAACCTTAGCTATAGACGTTAGTAAACTGTTCTGCAACGAGAGACATCTATATTTGTGACAACAGTTTTTTATTAAGAATGTTAAGGTAAGCTTCTATGCCTTTGTTCTGTTTTTTGTTCATAAATTTTGTTTCTGGTTCTCAGTTTTTTTCAGATTTTTGATTTTCGAAGATTTTTTTCCGATTCTTTATGAGTACTGTATACAGGGTGTTTTCAAAACTTGTTTTTCATTTTAAAGGTATATTTTTCATTTTCCTGTATTTGACCTAAATTAAAAAAAAAGTAGGCAGGTATATTTTGCTCATGAATATACCGCCCGACAGGCTGATGCGATTTTGATATTCTCCAAATTCAAACTTAGTAAATTATGAAGCTTCATAGAATGTCTGTAAGAAGTTTCTAGCTTGAAAAAAAAATCTATAAAATTTGTGGCGCTAGCAAAAAATTTTTTCTCATCCCGGCATGGGTTTGCTTTTTGTGAAATTGAAAAATCTTACTTCATAAAAATTACAAACGCATGCTCATGAAATACCTTCAAAGTAAAAACAAAACTTTGTAGCTGTAGTCAAAAAGCTTTCAGAGGTTTTCAGACTTTGATCAAACATTTCAAAAAAAAATCTTTAAAGATAGTTAGGAGGAAAATTGATACAAAATTTTTTGGTACGCCGATGTACAGTGCTGATTTAAATCAACCGGACAAAACGCGCTAAACTTGAAATTTAAAACCCGTTTTGCTCAAATTGGGTTGAGTTTAGATGAAAATTTAAAAAGACAAAACTTGCTTGAAATTTTAGCAGAATTATTATAGTGTAAGTTGTTTTGCGAAATTCGGGCCCAAAATTTTAACCCAGAAAGGGGCCACTTTGGCTTTTCTTAGTTAATCATCCAGTCGATCACAGACATAATTATATCGAAGTGAGCTCCTTACGTAGCCCAACAAACTTTAAGGAGGGTATATTGTCCAAAACATTGTATAAGTTAATTTATTTTTGTTTGATAGACAAAAAAGGTCGTTCATACTATAAAAATACCAACTATTTATTTCAAAACAATTTTTAAGGGAATTGCAAGTTTTTTTTGGAGAATACGCCCTTCTTAAAGTTTGTTGGGCTACGTAAGGAGCTCACTTCGATATAATTATGTCTGTGATTGACTGGATATTTTCTGGCGTAATTTTTGATTAACTAAGAAAAGCCAAAATGACCCATTTTTGGGGTAAAGTTTTGCGCCCAAAATTCGCAAATTTGTCATCATAAGTTTTCATCTAAACTCAACCCTATTAGAGAAAAACGTGTTTTAATTTTGCAGTTTAGCTCGTTTTATCCGGTTAATTTAAATCAGCTCTGTATATAGTGTCGTTTTTGTATGTAGTGTCGAATTTATTTTCGAAAATTTTGTTGACCTTTTTTTAGATCGATCAAATTGATTTTTCGAGCTCTCCCAAAACACTGATTTCTCCCTAATTTGGCAAAAGATTGGTCTTTTTTTTAGCGCGCGCTCTCTCTCAAAATTACTATTTATTGGCGCCTCAGGCGCCTTTAAAAAAACTTTAGGGTCCATCGCCAAAAATGGATATTGGAAAATAGTACAAAAGGGACCCCCCTAAATCCGCCCCTGTCGTTTTTTTATTTTTTAAACCTACTAGTTAGCAATCAATTGGTTAAATTCGTTATGAACCTTGTTAACTTGATGCGAGAGCGATAATGAGGCTCAAAGTTTTGAAGTTTTTACTCCGACCTTCGAGATCTCAGTTTTACTCGTCGTAAGCTAACAATTTGTGACGATTAAAACTGAGCAAAAAACCTGGTTTTAAAACCTCTTTTTTGATGACCAATGTGTTTTAAACTGAGCAAAAGCACTCTTAATTACTTTAAATTTGATTAAAAACAAGTTTTAACATTATTCTGAACATCTTGCTTTTTATGAAAAAATGGTTATCAGACAATATTCATATATGCAAATTGTAGGATAACTACTTTTTTATTTCAAATTAAATTTTCGTTTTTGATGAGCATTGTACTTCAAATTGAGTAAAAGCACTCTTAAATAATTTAAATTTTTTTATTAACAAGTTTGAACAATTTCTGAAAACTTTGCCTTTCATGAAAAAAGGGTTATCATACAATTTTCATATATGGAAATTGTATGATAACCATTTTTTTTTCAAAAAAAAAATAAACGTAGTTATTTTTCATCAACAGACTGTTGTATTTGGTTCAAATAGCCGGAGAAACTAGATTGAATCTTTTTTCAATGGTTTTTTGAAATTGTATGAAAATTGTATAATTAGCATTTTCCCATACATTTGATGCAGGCAATTGTATAATAAGCTTTTTCGGTGTGGGGAAATTTAAAATAAGCATTTTCGGTTTATGGATGTCAACCCGGGGTCACATTACCTTTCCAGGCCTTTTTGTTGGTTTTAATTGGTTTTCTTTAAAGACCGCTCAAAAACCGCTCAAATCTTGCTTGAAAAACCGTTCAAAAATCACCGCAAGAAATGAGCGGTTTTTGAGCGGTTTGAGCGGTTTTTCCAAAAAAACCGCCCAAACCGCTCAAATCTTGCTGAAAAACCGCTCAAACCGCTCAAACCGCTCATATCTTGAGTGGTTTTTGAGCGGGATCTCGACCCGGGCAGTGAAAGCTAATCAAAAATGCCCAGCTAATTAAGTGAAACCAAATGATTAACTATTCACACTTAGAAAGAACTTGGTTGTGCGATGACTAAAAATTTGAACTACGCTATGAGAAAAGTCAGTCATTTTCAGATACTGCAGATTTGACCGTACAAGTAGTTCCTTCACTAATTAGCAATGTTGATTGGAACAAATTTGGAACTTGTTCACTTGATTGTCAGAGCGATAACGACGCTCATAGTTTCGATGAGTCTTCACAATGATTTTTTAAGAGTGAATCAAAAATGTCCAGGTAAATAACTTAAGCCAAATGGCCATTCACACCGAAAAAATAAATCAGCTGAGTGACGGCAATTGATTGAAAATTGTAGAAAAATGTTTTTAAAACGAGCCAATTTTGACGATAATTATAATTTGGATAAAAACTTTGAATTTTAATTGACTGAACAGCTTAAAATCTTTCTTGAATTTTTTTGGGGGACTTTTGTAAACATGGAGTTTGCATTTTCAACATTCATGCGAACCCTTCTTATCATGGCTTGGCTTAATATGTCCATGATTCGTGGTTCTTTTAAAGAAGAGCCGTTTTTGTTCAAGTTCGGCCAGAGCGAGGGCGACACTTTCATTGAAAAAACATACCCACTTAGCTCGCGACGCGGCTTCGAGTTCGGAAGGTGCTTCATGATAAAACAGAAATCAGTGTGCGAAATCCACATTTGCACGGACGGAACTATCAACCTGGACAACGAAATGATTTACATGGACAACACGGCGGTCGAATTAGATCCCGCAAGTCGTATTTCAGTCGCCATGACCCCGACAATTGGCGCCGACAACATGATGGACTACATGTGCAGACCTGAAAAACAAATCTACTACTACTCAAGTCTCGGATATAACCCGGAGCAAATCTGCTTTTACTACAATTTGTATCTCTACTCTTCAATTTCTGGACCTTTCGGTATAGAAATTTACCAAATTCCTCCACCCCCATACAACCCTGAGAACTATTTGGCTGTTATGAATTGGAACATTGAAAATGACGCCGCGATTTACGGGAGCTTGCTGACTATGGGATTGGACGACAAGTTGACCGTGGAATTGATGGGCGTTGATCAAACCAAATACCCAAACCTGGCTGGAAATGTTTTGTACCGCAAACTCATTTCAGCAGAAGATTTTGATTTAGCAAACAGCCTGATTGGGGGAGATTTCAGAGGCGACTTCGGTTTTGTCGTGACCTACTACAAGGTTCAGCAATTTGGGGCTAGTGCGCTGTCGTTTTTCAACAGCTACCAGCTTGTGTTCGTGTGTGACAGCAAACGAACGGCTGCTGATTTCACTGACGATACATGCTACTCAATTTCAGACTACTACGAGATCAACTTCGGCTCATCCCGGAACGACTTCCTCTACGCAGGTTTCTACTTGGTGCACGAACCGGTTGAAATGGGACGATTTAGACGCGGTAAGTAACGCCAATCAACCCTCCTCCAAATTATCGGCACCGCATAAAACACGTCGTAAAAAAGACTCTCGCCTAGAATGTATAACAAGGATAGCCAGTTCCTGCGCAAGTATCACAGATTTAAAAAAAAAACAGTTTTTTGTCTTTTTTTTGCATTCATGGGGTGTGATAAAAGGATCTGAACGAAAGTCTAGATCCTAGACGTAGTCGATATTAACAAAATAAGGCGTTTTCGACAACAGTTTTTCTCAAAAATGAATACCAAAAACTTTTTGCAAAAAATATTTTTTTAATTAAAAAATACCTAGAGGGCGCTAAAAAACTTTACAATCCTTTTATACACCTGCTTATTCGCTCGAAATTGAGAATATTTTTTGATAAATTTTTTATTGTCGTTTGAATTACAAGTGAAAAGACTGTAAAATGATACATCTTTTGACCCATTCCGACGATATTTTTGGGCAACTGATTTTGCGTGGGAAAATAAAACTACCAAAGACTAAGCTCCTCCCCATTATCAGTGGTCGGTGGTCAATGATCAACGATAATAAAAGAAATATTGTTAGCAATTATAATAATGATTGAAAAAGTAGAAGAAATCGTAATAGTCGAAAAAACTTACAAACAGAATATAGACTAGCATATATACAATTTCGAAATTGGAGCTGCAGCTGTCATTAGAACAATTCCGAACATTTTAAGAAGCCCAGATAAAAAATAATGCGGGAAAAATTCCAGTTACAAAACATCTCCAATTATGATTGTGATTTTAACTAAATTAGACATCAAAAAAGACGAAAAAAATTGGTCAAGAAATTAAAGATACAATGGTCTGCAGAAAAAACACCTGAGCAGAACTACCTTTTTCATTTCAAAACTGGGGACAAAAAAATTTTCAAATTAGTTTGATCAAATAAAGTTGATCGATTATCAATGACGTTTAGCCTGTCAAACTAAAAGTAGATAACATTTAGGATTGAGCTCTTAAACTGGGGTTTCACAAATACTCGACCGCCGATACTTCTGAACTGAATTAACATTTACTGTTTTAACAGAGGTGATTGATGCTTTTGCGCCGCCTCCTCCGAGCAATTTTGGTGAGTCTGATTCAAGTTTCACTGTTTTGAAAAATTTTCTATGAAACCATAATTTTAAAAATGCTTGCAAACGTCTTTTGAAAAGTTTAAGAAATCAAAAACCGAAAAATTTTTACAACTTAGAGCCAAGCTATTCAATGCAAACGTATAACTGGATAAAATTGATATTCCAAACAAAGCTATTAATGTAAGAATATGTATCAACTTCTTAAAGGACTAATTTATTACCCTTTTTAAAATTAACTAATTAATTTTTTTTTCAAAGACGAGCTGTACGAACTTCCCTACTCGCGTTGCGCGGCTGCCTACAAACTGGCCGAAGAAAGCAACACGAATTTGCCCGGGGTTTGGATCTACGAAGTGGTGCAGAACTACAATGAAAACGACGGCATCGCAATCAAGGGGGGACCTCTGCATCGCTACTCCTTCGATGACCTATGCCCGGGGGCCACTTTGCCCAACACGACTGTCTCAATGTTCGAACACAATCAAGACAACAACTTTCAGTTTGAATTGAGTCCTTGTAATAGCAAACTGAAGTCCTGGAAACATGTAGCGTTCAAGTTCGTCGGAACTTTTGAAGTCCAAACCGAGGCCCAATATGACTATCCGTGCTCCAAGATCAGAGGCAAATTTCCCAAAGTTTGGGGTGTTAATGAACCGGTGAAAGTGATGTTGGTTTTGGACCATGTTGCCATGGATACTGGATTGACAGTCGAGTTTGTATCGCCACAGCAGGAGTATTCTGTTTCTCAGATAACTCTGACAGTTGAGAAGACGGAATCCACTGTTGAACTCACGTGGTCTGATTTACCCACTTCCGACGGCCAGACCTACGATCTGGAGAGAATAGAAGTTACCGCAAATGGTAAGTGTAATCCAAATCTAACTTTTAAAATAAATAGCCGGTTCCTTCGCATGACCATATTTGAAAAAAGTACAATTTTCATTTCAAATTTGTAGTTTTTTATTGTTCCGACCATTTAATCTTTTTCCGACCATATTCATAAAAACTACATTTTTTTTTCAAATGAGAGACGTTTTTTTGCGTGGTGTGATGAAATGATCTGAACGAAAGCCTAGAATTTAGGCATACTCTATGGTCATAGTAAAACAGGCACATTAGACAACAATTTTTTGCAAATAAATCCAAGAAAATTTAAAAAAAATATGAACAAAATTGTAAAACATTTTTTAAATTGTTATCGTAGATGTTTCGAATAATTTTGGAGCTTTTAAGTTAAAATTGCTCTTAAAAATTTCAAAAACTATTTTTTTTATATAAAAATAAGTTTATGGGGTCAGCTCGTATTTTTTTTGTTTAAAATCGGACTAAAAATCAAAAATTTCAGACCGGTTCTTATCGACACTGAGAAAATTTATCGCGTTACGACTGAAAAGGCCTTAATACTCGACTCAATCCGATGATTATTTATAGTACCTGGTTTTGCGGGAGAAAAAGGAAAAAAGAAACAAAATGCAATTGAAGACAAAAGTCCACCCCATTTTCAATGGTCGAAACCATAATCGCTAGCCTTGAAAAAAAAATTGGCAAATTATTTCAAAAAAACATCATCTGACAATAATACAGTGACCATATAAAGGATCTTCATTGATATTTTTTTCCTGATCCATTATTGGTCAAGCAGCAGTGAGGTTACATGAATAACAATCTTTTATAATCGATTTTCGTGGTCGAAAATGTTGGCATTATAATCGAATTTAATTCAACTTTGGTACCACGCACTTTGGTACCAATCCCCTACCTGGCGCCCTCTCACCTAGCCCCCACCTATTTTTCCAACAGCAACCCCCCTTCGCCCCCCCCCCCCCCCCCCACCTAACCCATTTCACCTGATCTCCACATAACCCCACCCACCTACCGAACCTCTTACACACAAACCTCCCCTCATCCAGACCTACTTGACACGCCCTTTATGATTTTTGGAGGCTTAAAGATCTGTAGGGTTGTGGGGTGCTTGATAAAAGTGTGCGTGTGTGTTTTTAGGGGGGTAGGATGGCACGCATACGGTGTTTTTCACGTATTTTACGGTTAACCGAAGTAAAGTGTACGTGATGGGGAGGGGTGGTGGTTAGTGACGAAATGGTAAGTAAGTGGTAAGAATGGTGGGAGTTACTGTGAAAAAATTAGGGGGAGGGAGATGAATAGAAAAAGACGAGTAGAAAACACTATAACTTTTTGCTGTAGCCAAATGTAAAACTTAATTAACCGATTGCAGTTCAAGTTTGGCATATTTGATTTTACGGTTTTGGAAAAACCGAGTTATTACTCAGAAAAACTGTTACAAATCATTTTAACTTATTAAAATCCATTATATTCTTTTATAATTGATGTTAATGAATTAAGTTGATTGCTATTTATTTGTTTTTTAATCGCTTATTAATCAATTATAATGAATCTTTTAGATTTTCATGGAAACAGACCATGAAAATCTAATATACTCGTTTATTATTCATGATCCTTATTGCGAGGTCTTTACTATACCCTAACTTTGGTCCGAAGAACGTATAAAAAATGCCCATATTGTGAACAGGATAGTTGACTACACAGAGAGATATTGAATAGAAAACATTCTGTAGATTTCGGGGATTGCTTCTCTAGGTTCGTTCTCTCTTCTCACTCTCACTTAACGACACCGCAAAGTAGTCCCATGGGTAGTGAATTCAGCGGGACGACTGAGATTTACTACTATCTACAAATCTGAAGAGTTTAAGTTAGTGGGAACTATTTTGTAATGTTTTATGTTACTCGCCCACTTTTCGTAATGAGGCTGTCTCGACCCCTCTCACAATCTCGAAAATTTCCAGTTGTCATTAAATTCAGATGAAAATCGGTCCGAAAACAGAAGGCTCTAAATGACCAGAATAATCTAAAAAACCAATTAAGAATAAAGGGTCCGAGATCATTCAACACAATTGCCTAATTGCAATTCAACTCCCAACTAACTTAACTAAATGATTCTCTCTCTCTCTCTCTCTCTCTCTCTCTCTCTCTCTCTCTTTCTCTTTAGAGGAAAATCCAAATTGACGAATTACACACAATAATTCCAAACAAATACTCAATTTGAGCTGCTAAAATTAAAAGTGTCACTGCGGATCACTTTTCTTTCGAGGCACTTTAATTGAGTTCTCTGACTTCTCAAACCACTCTTCTCAACTCTGATGTGAACCGACTCTTATATTTCGCTAATTCGCTCTCTCTCTCTCTCTCTAACAATGAAAACCCAACTATTTTACTCAATTGCAAGCTTGTTCTGCCTGAGGATACGCTATATTAACCTCCTTAAAATTTTCTGTTTCAGTGTTAGTTATAGTTAGAGTTATGGTCGTCACTATAAGTCCTGACAATTATTTTGGCATCCCACAAGCTAGGTCCCTACCGGACTCTTCCTCTGTCGATGCGAATCCTAAATTCCGAGTTCAATATAGGTATCTCTAACTATGTGCAAACATCAAGTTCAATTTCACCTCTAAACCAAGTTATGTTTATTTGACCAGTCATAAAGGTTTATTCCAGTAACGTTCCGACTTCCAGGGGTCAGGGGAAGACACCATTTATTGGCTGCAAACCCATTTCTAACATCTAAAGTTCCGATTCATACTCTATTCAAATCTCGACCTTCTGGTTATTACAGGAAAGTAATTTTTTTATTAAGGCCGAAAGCGTGCCAAAAAGCCCCCTCTGGGGAGCTAGGTAAATATGCAATCCATTCAAATTATTTGGGAGACCTGCTTCCCATGCATGCTCCTTTTACCGCCAACTTCCTCTATGACTATTTTTCTTTAGTCTGGCTAATTTTCTATTAATAGCTCATTCCCCAAGCTAAGCTGAACCAATTGTGTGCCAAGTCCTCTTTAATTAGTTTCACTAACTCAAGGTTACAATGCAAAAGCTAAATCACTTTTCATTTTCTGCTTCAGTTGCCAATAGAAACTCCCCAAGTATTAGTAGGTTGATCATTTTCATTTCCAAACGGTTGGTGCTGGGGAATGAGCAGCTTTGATGTGTTT